ATTCTCCTTCTAAGAAAATGCGTTCTTAGCGCCTGCGGGTATAGTCCAGATCGGCGGCCCACGACTCGGATATTCGAAAGAATACCGCGAAGGTGGTTTATGAAAGGAAGATACAATAATGGTGTGAAACTGAGACAGTGAATAATTTACATGTTTAAATCACCCTCTTGTCATTTTCTCGGCTATAGAATGCCTCTCACCTCAGTTATAGGAACGCTTTCTTGCCTCTACTGTGGCAGACTGTAAATAATTTTTGACAAGCACCTTTTATAAAGTAAGACAGAGCAAATTAATGTATACAAGTAGTTATAATATATAAACTGACTGTGAAGCAAAACATACTAATGTATGAAGGATACTGTGTTTGAAGTGAGAGATAAGGAGAGGCAGCAGTTTTAGTTTGAAAGAGCAGGAAAGCCTAATAATTATTAACCTTCATATTTAAGCCATAATCACATTCTAATCTACAGAAGAAGGTTCGTTCTCTGCAGTTCAGACGAATAAAATGTAGACCAAATATTACTCGAATATGATGGAGCAACTTATCAAATTATGTCTACTTGTTTTGAAACATGTTTTTGGTTAAAAATGTAAGAGGTGTTTTAGAAAATAAAATGGCTGTCTTCTTACTCACCGTCGTGACAACCTCAAATCCTAATGGAGTTTTAAAAACTGTGTCCGAATTTTCAAAATACGTAGCTTTTATAAACAATAAATCAGTCATAAAACAAATTAATCTACAAAATGTAAGAGGTGTTTTAGAAAAGAAAATGGCTGTCTTCTTACTCACCGTCGTGACAACCTCAAATCCTAATGGAGTTTTAAAAACTGTGTCCGAATTTTCAAAATACGTAGCTTTTATAAACAATAAATCAGTCATAAAACAAATTAATCTACAATGAGCAGCCATCTAAGCCTAGTATCTAAACGTATCCCTTCAGAAGAGCCTATATTAGCCATGGGTCGGCAACATTTTAATTCAAGCAGGCTGCATCGGTAAATCATATCTTTGTCAAGGGGAGCAGAAAACATTAAATAATGTTGTGGACAGTAGCGAAACTTGTCTGATATTCACACGAAAACTAAAGCTTTATTTTTCCATGCAACCGAGTTTATTGTAAAACAATGCTTGTTAGCTTTCAAACAGTTTCAATTTTCAGTCATTGTTTCTGCATAAAACATCCAGTTATTAATGCTACAGCAATTTTCACGTAACTTTTTTTAAATCCCATATAACTTGGATAACTGGACAATGTACCTTTGCGCAATTTTAACGTTACAATAGAATGTTCATTTGTTCCTTTTTATTATTTTTTAGTAATTGTTCCCCTTCTCGCTTTGACAAATTCCCATATCATGTCACAGGCCGCATAAAACGTTTGCGAGAGCCACATGCAGTCGGTTCCCGACCTCAAGCCTACGTATTTATTATTTCTTGAATGACAATTTCTCTCCAGATCAAACACATCATTCTCGTATGAAGCTGATATGTTTTGACATTGCCTGTCTATAAACACTCCGAGTGTAAAAAAATATACGCAAAAACCATGGACAAGGCAGTGGAAAATGTAGGCCTAATTACGTATTTATACTAAACCACCAAGAGAAATTCACAGCGATAACATTTGGACTGTGTCCTTCTGGGCTATGACGCCATATAGTCTTGTAGTTGGTTATGGAGGATCCTACAGCCTCTTCAAGACATAAGTGGCTCAAGTTGAAGGCAACATGTTCCTCCAGAGCTCTCGTAACCACCTACAAGACAATGCGGCGTCAAAGCCCAGATAATCAGAGTAGGATTTGTGGTTTTCACAGCGGTGAGTCCGAAGATGGCTGTCTTCTGTGCTGTAGAGTCGTTGGTAAACTTCTACCAAGCTACACGGCGCTACAACCCAGAAGATAGGGTATATAGCTTGAAATAAGATGGAAATATTATTGTGAATAGTAAAGATCTGAAAGGAAGCAATCATGAAATATTTAAAGACGGGCCTAGAATTCCGAATTATTCTTGAGGGACTGAGGAAAACCATAAAACCGCCCTGAGCCGAAGGTAGAAATTCGACGTGGTGCGTGCATTTTACTACAAACTCCGTGAAAAACATTGTCCGCTTCAATTTAAAATTTATCTTAATTAAAACCGTTCAATACATATTTTCGCCTTAGGTATTTATATAGATAATTAGAGTAAATTGCAGTGTCCCCTCAAGGACCCACATCAGTGGGTACGGGGACTGCCACCCCCGAGGTACCCGAGCTATCCAGTGCCTGGGGGTATAGCTGGGCCACCTTATCTCCAGGGGCCGTAAATATGGAGGTCTGGTCCTCCAGGTTGGGGGTTGGGCGCGGGGCTGACAACTCCACCCTGTAAAAAGCAACTGCCGGATGGACTCATTCACGGCGGACTGGCAAACAGATTGTCTATGAATGAGGAAGAATGGAAGAAGCTTTTGAAAAAGCAGGGGGCCACACAGGGCTGTAGAGCCAATAATGATGATGAAATTGTAGTGTTACGTATGACTGTTTATCTTAAATTTTAAAAACAGAACTTAAAACTTTGAACTGGCCAAAATTATCGTACAGCAGCGTTGAACTAAGAACCATTGTAAAGGAACCCTTGTGTTACCAAAGCCAGAACGGACTTTCCTAAATGGCACATTATACACAATGATACATACAGAAAAGAGCATAACATCAGACAATGCTTCTACGAGGAGGTAATATAAGGGCACAAGAAAGTTTGTGACATCATCTAAGCGGCTCTCTTCAAGTCGGAAGATACTTTGTTCCTAATTTGGTGATGATGTGGGTCTCCTTGATGTTTGAGTAACCTACATACGAGAACTGAAAACGTGACGCGGGTTGCAATGTCAACTGTTTCTCTCGACAGAGCCAGCGGCTTTTTCAAAATGGCATTCTTCATTCTTTAATGCCAGTAGGTGAAAACGGTGACATTTAAATTATGGTTTAAGAACTTGAAACTGTATTGTAAAATAATAAGTCTGAGTAAAAGAACAATACTCTCATTTTATTATTACTTTTCTTACAAGATCCCCTTCATCACGGAAAGATCCATACACATTCCGTGATGAAAGATCAGTTTGGTTAAATTTCTAGCTGCTCTTGAGATAGAACGAGCACAACGATTCTTAATGCAAGGTACTTTACATTTTATGTTGTCGAAGAATAAATACATGCAATTTTATGGTGATAATTTTTAGGGGATTAAAAGAATACGGCACATTTAGCTTTCGTTCTGACGACCATAACTATCATTGGACAAGACTTTTCATATAGAGATATTCATATTCCATAAGAAACACTGTTTAGATGTAAAAACATCACTGACTTGTTTACGGTGGGAATTTATGTGACTAAGCCTATAAGTAAAGTAAAGTTTGTCCCACTATATGCCACGTAGGCGTTTGGGGTGAGTGGAGGTATAGCTCCTCTCTTCCTTGACCTCGGCACTAGATGGGGGTGAGTGGTCAGCATCACGCCCCGGCCAGCTTTACCCCGGGAAAGGACCCCGGTACCCATTGTAGAGGAGGCTTTTTCTTAATCTGAAAATTTAGTACAGGAAGTTATTCACAGAAATGTAACAGCATCATTCATTTGCAGTTGATACAAGCTTGTACAGTGGATCCGAGAAGCTGTCAGATAGGTTGCAAGCTGGACGACAGGGGTTTGATTTCCGTCTGGGACAAAAGATTTTTCTTGTAGCTACAGCGTCCACCCTATCCAACGAATGTCGGACGCTCCTTGCCCTGGGATAAAGCAGACAGAGTGTAAAGCTGACCACTCACCTCATCTGGCGTCGAGATCAAGAATAAATGGGGCTATAGCGACTTAATGGCGTGGTGCTTAATAAGCTACACAGTTTAAAAAGTCAAACAATGCTGATATTTTTATCAATTTTATCAACAATTTAATGAAAATTATAAATTTTATTTACATTTTGTCGTTCTATTTATTTCAGGAAACACTAATTTGTGAATAACTTTGGTTCGCGGTGTGTACAGGCAATGTGGAGTGACTACATTGGTTAAAAGTAGAGCCTTCTCGATGAACCTTTGGCCCACAATTTTAAAAATTTAAATCATACTCTAATCTATAGTGAGACATGGAAGAACTCAAACACAAGTGTTCCCCCAAGAGCCCTAAAATGTTGCCATGAACATCAATGCTGAAAAACTACAACTAAATTTATTTTTATTATTATTAGAATGTAGAAGATTTTCTCAAAGTTATCCCAGTCGAGGGATCACGAAACGTTTGAAGAAAATTAGGCACTGTAAGTTGCTAAAACATCGTGTTTTACAACTGCACTTGTTTAGAAATTTTACCATTCTATGCTTTTATAAGTATGCGATATAACGACAAAATTACGTTAAGAACAATGCGAACTTGAATAACTATGGAAATACTTACGCATATACAGGGGAATTACACTTATCTGGAGTAAGTTCATAAATAAAACAATTAAGGGGATGTATGTGTTTAGTAATAGATGGTGATGGATCTCCAACTTTACTGTACTTGACACACTGGTTCTGCACAATTAATTATCCCCGACTCGGAATGCCACCACTAGTAAACATATGGCAGGATGTATCGGGTCTACTGTCTACATGGCACGCATACCACAACTTTACACTGTTAAAACACTTTCTCTGTTTCTTACCTTAAAATGTAACGTCTGATTAAATCATAATTTTTATTTATTTTATGTTATGAAGAAACAATATGACAATGTAATTCTGCATAAAACTAAAATTAGTCACATTCATGGGTGTTCCAAAAGACGTTTCTCATTTGGGTGTAGGCCAATCATACCTACGTAATTAAACACACAACACTTCCAAGCAAGTAATATCTGAATAACGTATTAGCAGCTTAGATAGTCACATTTATTAGTTAAATTAACAATGCCCTGTTATCCGCAGTGGTTACATTACGTAGAGAAAAACTGACAGACTCCTGAAGACATATTTATGGACAGTCCTGTGTTACTGTAGGCCAGTAAACATCCATTTTGGAAAGGGTTCATAATTTCCATGTAAATACTAGTACGAACAATTTAAAATGCAAAAGTAGAGCTTCTTTACGTACCAAAAACTGAACATTTGGATAATGAATCTCGAGAGTCTACTGACTAAACTAATCGGAATACAAGTGTGTGTTGAAAACCTTTAGTATTTAGTGAAATCGCTCTACGTTGGTTTTGACGGCGTACAAAGTCATTCCACATCTGTGTTCTTCCCACGCTTTTGAGCTCAATTTTAAACATCCCTAGTTCGTAATGTAAAACGGCGATTAAATTTATCTCTCTCATAGGAAAGCACTTCTTCACCTTAATCTGTCATGGCTTACGCAACTCAGCGATCTTCAAAATTCACGGCACGATGCTTAAGACTTTAAAACCCAGTGGTAACCTCATGTAGCACCTAATGCAACAATCAGGAACTCTGCATTTTTGCACACAGTGTATTTAAAGGATTTGTATGACTCTCAGAGTAAACAGCAATTATTTCCTTAAGCAGCATTAACCAAGTGATCGTAATGAAGAAGCGCTGGATTTTCTTTGACGTAAAGACTGAATTTCTAAATATTATATAAAGAACCTTCAGCTTCAAAGGGTTAAAATGTGCAGGAAAAACCATCTTAAAATCAATAAATCAGAGACAGAGAAAGTTTTAAACATGAACCTTGAATTTGGTATGTCAAAATGTAGAGGGGGAAGTACTTATTCTCACTAGTACACGGGAGTAAGAGTTTGACACAGGGTGATCCAAAACAATACGTAAACACAAAAAATACCGATAATATACTCAAACTTGATTTGTTAGGAATGTATAGAAACATTTCATTTTAAGTATGTTTCTGCAGGTGAATCCGGGCACACAAATATTTTGTGGGCAAGAGTTTAACTAAACTGTACACAATAAAGGTATCTATCAACAAATGTTTTTATTAAAATAATAATATGAGCATGGATATTGTTATATTTGTAAATTCAGGTACAAAACTACTTACTTAAATAACAACATTATAATCAGGATGCCAAATCTTACAATTCTGATGATCTTTTGATTTTGTTATGATGACACAATTACAAATGCCATATAATTAAAAATACATAAAATCGGATAATCATTAATGAATTTAGCATCTTTTGTGATAATTGTAACCAAAAATGAAGGACCATAAAATTTACATAGAATACACTATTACACCATTTTGTTTCGGAAAATATAATGTAAATGTTGTATTACAATGATTATAATTTTCAATCCCCTTTAATTGCAATATCAGCTGACATTATTAAAATGTGTGCAGTAGATAATCCGTCTTAAAACCACGCTTAAATTATCACTGTTCTTTGCATGTGGCTTATCACGGATACCTTCTTGAGATCATAAACAGTAACAGCAATGGTACATGAACTTTCCATTCCCAAACCTCACACGGTCTTTTAAACTTAAAAATATATACAAATAGCAATTTTCTTTTTTAATTATAGATAAATTTAAATTTGAAATTCTCATCATATTTTCTGGCTGATAAAAACAGACTAAACGCCTGTTGTAAAATAACTTCTAGATTGTTTAACATAAAGTACAGATACATAAAAGTCATTCAGCATAATTCGTCTGAAATAAGAAAACCTTCCGTAAGAAATCCGGGCAGACCGAGACATATAAAACGTAAGTTTCATCAGTCGTGCATCTCACTGCGTTACTTACGCAAGTCCCTGCTAGTCGTGTCCTGACTTGTGTATTGTTCAGGTGGCCACACATCACAGCAGAACACCTCTCGACTATAAACACCAGGATTAAAGTCTGGTCAGCAGTTATCTTTTTATTATCAGTTACGGTTTAAATAGATAAATATTTTGGTAGAAATCTAAACAGAAGAGATTACTTGGGAGACCTAGACATGATGGGCGGATAATATTACGATCGATTCATCCAGCTCGGTATGCGTTCTCTGATGACTAGTTTCTCAAGATAAACATCGCTCCAGACATAACATAAAATTATGAATAATCATCTCTGTTTCAAATTACAGGTACAAGGCAGTTTCAGTGTTCTGCCATCATACTGGTTTATGCCGAACAGGAAAATCTCACCATGCAACCTCCTCAAAATGCACACATAATTCAAAATCCTCGAACTGCAACAGAAATACTGAGACAGCCATCAAAAAACTTCAGCACTGAAATCTTATCTACAAGACAAGAAACTTATTGATAATTTGAAAACGTACCTGGTCCGCCGTCATACTGGATGCTTCCACTATTAAATATTATAAACATGCCAAGATCTAGTAACTTTATTTAGGTGTGACAATAAGAAAAAATTCAGCCCCAGAATTTATGTCAAGTCTATTTCAAATCCAAAAATAAGATTTTATAAAATGCTGTTTAACGGGGAACCAACCTTAAAAGAGCACGTTCAGTTTTCTAGAATACTACGATTGAACGATTCACTTACGGATGACATCACAGTTTAATATAACATAACCGACACTTCCAAGCTTGTTTTATTTTCATGAAGTCTGATTTGAATGATGACAGAGCACGCCTATGGTTTAAAAATGACATCTAAATGAGAAAAACATTTCTGTCATGACTTCTTCTTGTATGGCTCTCCGGTCTGTATTCGGTCCATGGCCTCCTCAATTCTCCTCTTCCATTCGGTCCTCTATTAGGTCCGTCTGTAATGACTATCATTCTAAAATCAAAATGACCTGTCCTGTACCAAAAAAATTATACATATATCCCCCTGCACTTACCTTTGAAATATGCGAATAGTGGATTTAAACCCTGTATACCTGCACCTTGTCCTGATGGTGTAGGTGGTGGTGGGGGGTCAGTACCTCAGTGACCCCAAGAGCTACTGGTAGGGCCTCCCTAGCCAGATTGGTCGAGGGGGAGAGGTCAGACTCAGACAGGTACCCTGGTCCTCCAGGTTGAGGGTTGGTCGCAAGGCTAACAACCTTGTACCGTAAAAAGGAAGATGTTTCGAAACCTCAACCTCGGATAGACGGACCTAACAGAGGCCGAATGGAAGAGGAGAATTGAGGAGGCCATGGACCGAATACGGACCGGAGAGCCATAGAAGAAGAAAGAAGAATTAGACGACTGTCAGCTCCAGGGTTTAAAGCTCTTGCAGAATGCTACTGTGACACACAGCTGATAAAGGTTTCTAATTCAACACGCGACCTCTGGGACAAGACAGCAGGATGCCCACGTAATGGACAAACATGGAAAGTGTTGCAAACATTCTCTCTTTCTGAAGAGGAAATGTGATTGCTTCATAGTGTGAAATATAAACGCATTTCGTGACTTGGTGGGCAGACGCTCTTGACGTCATTGCATCTGAATTCAAGCTCTGAATGGGAAAACATGTCTTAATTAAAATAAGACTTCATCCTTCACCACTTTCCTTGAAGTACTACTAACACTTGCCTAATGGTAGCAGCACTTCTGTTCACTGTCGCCATTACTTAGTACTTACACACAGACACAGCAAAACAGATTTTGTATCCAATGTTCTAATTTTATATCACTGCAAGAATTAAATGCGAAGAATTTCATGCAGGTTCGTTGAAATCTGAACAGTTTCAAGTATTTAAATTTTGTATTTACAAAGACAAATGTTCTTGCATCGTCATATGACAGTGGTTAAAATTTGACCCGGAATTTTCATTCTTTCTCGTGACAAAGAGAATTACAGTTACTTTTTTGGTTATGGCATATTCTCCTCCTCTACACATTAACCACAAGAATATGGCCTGATATGGAACAGGTCGGATTAATTAGCTGACAGGCTAAAAACAAAATTCCAAGTGAAATTTAAACCACACTCTAATAACATTACCGAGACATGCACATTTTTATAACATCAATATTTCCTACAAATATCGCAATAAAATTACAAAATTAAGAGGTAATGGATAAATATTTTCCCCATGAATGCAAAAGCTTTCATTCTTTATATTATGGACATATTTGTACTAGCAAAAGACGTTCCAAACACCTATTAACCCTTTAAACTACGAAACCACTGCGTTATCAATATGTAACTCGATGAATTTTACCCGCAGAACGTATTTACTGGTTCTGCACGATTATCAGAGTAAACGGCATATTTCCCCAAACAGCATCAATCAATTGGTTTGTGTGATGGAGAAGCATCGTTTTCTTTGTGGTAGGAACCGAATCTTTCAATACATTATAGACGAGCTTCAGCTTCAAGGGTTAAATAAATTCAATTTGTAAGACTTGAGGTTCTCACAGCGGTGAGCATGAAGATTTCTGCCTTCTGGGTTGTTGTGCTGTGTAGTCTGGTCGATGTTAACCAGCGCCCTGATGATGGAGCCAGTATGACCTCTGAAACGTTGGTTAACATCGACCAGACTACGCAGCGCAATAACCCAGAAGACAGAAATATTCAAATTCAAATTGACCATACAAAAAGGCAGTAATTATCAAGCACATACCAAGGTCTCCACTATCTACAATTAGTGAAATATACTGTAAATATATGTTCTTTTTATAATTAGGTATACGTACTTTCTGGCAGTTATATAAAGTTTTACTATTCACATATAAACATTTAAACAGTGTGATATAAAGATTCTGTGTCTCTAAAATACAGTTTATAATGTAATTACAGAATTAAATGTTTGATCACTATTCGGCCCTGGCCACATGACCGTACAAAGTGCGTCCGTTGCAACGGACGTAGGTGAGGACGCCACACGAGCGCAGTGTGATGCGCCAGTTGCCCCAATGGAGCCGGAAGAAGCCGCTGCATTCTGTGGTCTTGTCCCTTCATGATTCTATGACGGACGTCACGATGCGTGTTACAATGGACGTACTTTGTATGGTCGTGTGGCCCCAGCCTTCATTAACATTAAAATTGAATGTATTTTTGAATAACACCCTCTTCAATTTTTTAATTTAAAACCTTCATTTAAATAAATCTGTCATCAAAGCACACATTAACTTCTACGTCTATCTCAATATTCGAATGGAACAGGTAATTTGACAAGCATCTGGAGTCTTGTGGTACAGTTTACTATGTTAATACTGAAAAAACTAAATTACTTTGCTTAATAAAATATAACAGGATCTATATTTAATTTAATCTGCGATTGCTGCTTTTCACTCCATAAAACAATAGTAATGTACAAATGTGAAGTTTTCTGAGGAATCTGATTGTAATGGGCATAGACTACCTGGAAATGCCAAACCAAAACCAGAATACCATTTCAATATTTGATGACAGATCTAATAGCGTTGATTGAAAAGGTACGTCTAGCAATACAAAAAAGTCAGGTTGAAAGCTCGTAGACTATCCATGTGAGAGAGGTGATGGTAACTTTTATCACACTGCTTACACTATTACCATTATATTATATATTTTACATAATTTTCAATCACTTCAATTGACCTATTCCTTACTAAAGATCAACTGGACTTATAAACAATTATACAGATAAAGAGGAGAAGAAAGAGACTGAGACACTACATTCCTCCTCATTTTTAAGACTGGGTGGCAGTTCATGGCCTTAAAAGCAACATAAAAGATACGGACTTGCACAAGTGAATATGCGACTTAAAAAACACACCTTTAATATAAACAGAGGATAGTCATTATCATGTCATTCACTGATGCTTCCAACCTTTTTGTGAAGTTCCAAATAATTAAAAGTTTGCATCATATAATGGCAAATCAACTTTGTACGAGACCATATACTTGCATCCTTCAGTTTACTCTCCACCATTTGTACTAGTTTAGTTTGTAAAGTATACAGACATGCTGACATCTGCACGAAGCGCAAGTACTTAATTGTGTCTTCAATTACATGATAAACTGAATTTACCAGAATGGATAGAATATTATTGAAAAAAATGTTCATTTGCACTTTCATAATGACTTAGAACCCACGATTTTATCAGTGATACCACTCCTGTAGTATTATGAACAAATTAACCATCCCACGCATTTTCATGGCAAACTACTACACAAGTTTACTATAACGGGAAGCGACATTTCCCTTTACAGATCATTTCAATTCCCAATCCAATATAAGTTAGTTATGAAATTAATTCAGAAATAACGAAACTCAACTACCTGCAATATTATTACAGAAAAGCATATATAGATACGTAAATCTAAAATAAAGCATTTTTATTAGAAATTCTGGAATGGTAGAATTACAGATATGACTTCATATACAGAGTGAGTCAGAAGTACGTTTACAAACTTCGTGTGTGTTCTAGGATCAAAAATAAGAAAGAATGTTCCTATGAACATGGGGTCGCAAATGTTTCATTTTCGAAATACTAGCCAAAATTAATTTTTAATGTATGCCTTTATTGCCAAGTATAAGGACAGGGATGTTTCTTTATGACAGATGCTCAAAGGTTGTTCCCCATTCTCCACACATGCACGAGCATGACGTAAACAAGACTGACGAATTCGATCGTACACACCAGGGTTTCCTCGAATCATTTGGCATGCATTCTGCACACGTTTCCATAGGTCATCATCATTGTTTATGGGTGTTGCATAAAAGATGGACTTCAAGTGACCCCACGGATAAAAGCCCAATGGAGCCAGGTCCGGTGACCTCGGTGGCTATGCTACTGGGCCACCACGCCCAATCCATCTCCAAGGGTACTGTTCATTAAGATGATATCTGACGCGATTGGAGAAGTGTGCTGGGGTTCTGTCATGCATAAACCACATTTGTCTTCTTTTATTCAGTGGTACATCTTCAAGGAGACGTGGCAAGTGTCTTCTTAAGAATCAACGATGTGAAGGTCCTCTTAGACGCGATGAAAGCATGTGTGGACCAATAAGCATGTCGCCAACAATTCATACCCAAACGTTAATCGAAAATCTTTGCTGGAAGCTGGATTCACTTTAATATAAAGTCAATTAATTAAAACTTATTTTTGGCTATTATTTCGAAAATGAAACATTTGCGACCCCATGTTCATAGGAACATTTTTTCTTATGTTTGATCCTGGAACATGCACACGAAGTTTGTAAACATACTTCTGACTCACCCTGTATAAATACACAATATAAAATGGAGTAATTCATGTCAATGGCAGCAACTAACATTATGAAAGTTCAAACTATCAATTTTTAAATGTCAGATGGAAATCCTCAAAACTTAAATTTTCCACACCACTTTTCAATTATCAATACAACTAGCTACATTTGTTTTGTCAAATGAAGTAAAAGCCACGAATGAATATCTGATAGTTAGAATTACATTATTCTGTGATGCCGCAACATAATCATCTGACTGAGTGCAGTAACAGGTTTTGGGAGGCTTTAATACAAAATAATTTCAAAAGCACACCATCCAATACAATTTAAATGGCACTTACATAATTAACACTAGGCTAACTGGCTGTTATCCATCCACTGCTCACCAGGTAGTTGAGGACATGGGTCTCTGGCCCAGATGACGATGTTGGCAGTACGTCCTCTTTCTTTGGACCTTTCTGCAGATGATCCTGAGGAAAGGAAACACTTTTTGACGTAAATACGCCTATACGGAAGGGTCATTCGGCAAAAACAGCATTAGTTACGAAGATGTGTAAGATCCAGCGCCAAGTCACCTTTAAACGTTCATTCCTCAGGAACGGTAAGAGTAAGGGTAATGTAACCTATATGTAAAATGATCAGTAAATACGGACCTTTAAGAATCTGTAATGTATTTCATTTTAATTATAATTGTTTATACATTTATTGTAATTTTAATGAACCAATATGTACAATTTTCTATGCATCTGGCGCGTTAAGCGCCCGCCTCTCGAAACCCGTAAGAGATGGATCTGGACATATTGCGTACGAAATACGTATTACCTCTTGAGCTTTCCATATCACAAATGGTTTAGGTTCTACAATCATTTATTTATACGAACAAAGGCGCATCGCACTTCACGCGTTGCGTCATACTATGTAGAGATAACAAGATGGATGACATTGAAGCTAAAACAGTCTGATGATGATAATTTAAATACAAAGACGTATTTACGTCAGATTCTCCGGAACCGTGGTTCCACTGTCAATTTCTTTTATTTAACTTACGATCAGGTGTATCATACATTCAAAAAAGATAAAAGCATAATTATTATTATTTATATTTTACGCATCAAGCCCTTTTTAAGTGCACGCTGCTGTTATATGAATCTGCCACTGATATGGGAAACAAAGACAAAGGGAAGAGCACCAGTGACAATATATGCATTTGGGGGGGAGTTGTACAAAGTGTACTGACTCTACAAAAGAAAAATCTTGTATAATTTTTCCCAAATATAATTTTGATGAAAGTAATTCTGGATGAGAGAAAATATATATTTGGACTTTACTTTCAGCATCTTCTGTATAACATTATTCATATTACATGGTAAATATTAACGGCACACGAGGCAATACCATAAAGTGACACATACTATCCAAATGGTATGGGATCCCACCAAATTCAATAATTTATTCACTCATTTCAGTAGTGTTTCAGTCTGCCATCATTTTCCTCATGTAAAAGTAATTCACCTAAACCTAAAACTATTTTAAAACTATATAATAATTCATTCACCGTCCATACACAAACTTAAAATGTTGTTAAAATTTACTTAAAATTACATAAAATTACAACATTTTTTAGAATTAGATCTTGATACATTTCACATTTG